TGTATATAGAGCTGGAAAAGTAAAGTTTTGGAAACCTTCCTAACTCTATGTTGTATATTAAGTGTCCTTAAATTTTAAGGATAATATTAAGTAAAACATATTAAGTTTAATAGATCCCTAAGGTATTCACTAGATTAAGAGTAGTAGGGAGCAGGTCCAAACCTTCTTAATGTCTGGTAAAAGGCCTTGGGTTCATTTAAACTTCATTATGTTATTTAATAATTCATCCTGAATATCCTGATGCTCAGTGAATATTGATGTCTTGATTATTCCCAAGAATAAAGTAAATGTCATTTGAAGATTATGTTGGTGAATATTGATGTCATTCAGCTTGTGGTTGCCTGGGAATTTATTGCATTATGTGTTTAAGAATACAAGTGCGTATCATCATATTCATCACCAGAGTTATGTCATTAAGTATAATTTCTCCAATTTTTTTTTTGTGACGTGGGAAAAGTTGTTGGGGATTATATGACTTACACGCTTGAGAAAAGAAAGGATGGTGGAGGAGTTGAGGTGAGGCCTGTGCTCAATAGAACTATGGATTGATATTAATTTTGTTGATTAATTATATCTATTGGATGAGTTTATGTTTCTGTTTTGAATGATAAATTTGAATATTGAATTGAAATAAGTGGTGGTGTAATTTCACAGATAAAGGATTGCAGATATTTAAGAAAATTGGTTAAATTGTTTGTAAGTTACATATGTGATTATGAGTTTTTTTTTCTGTGAAAAGTGGATATGAGAAGTTTATGGCTTTGTATATGGGCTATAGGAAGGTTAAGGCTTCAAAGGATGTCATGATACTCTCCCTAAACTCTCTGGACAAATTCTAATAAGTTAAAGGCGACAATTTTCGAATAATTTCTCTCTTAATTTAAGCATTAAAAAATGACTGAGACTTTGTTTGTGTTAGTTTATTTTTGATAAAATTTATTTTAAAAGCTAGTTTTGACTAAATAATGGCATAAAATTGTGTGGTGACACATGACATCATATGACTGAGTTGTTGCCCCGAAGGTCAATTTCTTCGTTTGAAGTGATGCTAACCTTTACAGCTTTTTTATTTTAGTTCTCTTTTTTTCTTGAATCAAGTTGAGTATGATAAATTATTATTATTACTACTACATTGTTTAATTTTTAAGTTAATTTTTTTATTTGTTTACTTTAATAAGGGCAATAAATTTTAAATTAGCATTAATAAATTTATTTATTTTTTTATGTACGTACTTGTTTAATTTTATATATAGCACAATTGAAGTATTTCCTGATGAGAAAGAGAAGCATGAATTGAAGCTGAGACTAGTAAAAGAATTTGAAATTAAAGAACTGGGGAAATTGAAGTATTTCCTTGGTCTTGAGATGACATATTCCACACAGAGGATCTTCATATCTCAGCAGAAGTACGTGATTAATTTATTGGCAGAAACAGAGAAGACTGGGTGTAAGCCAATTGCTAGTCCAATAGATCCAAACTATAAGTTGGGAGAAGCTAAAGAAGAACCAGCTGTGGATAAAAGAATGTACTAGAGATTGGTTGGCAAACTCATATATCTTGCTCACACTCGACCAAACATAGCATATTCTGTAAGTATGATCAGTCAATTCATGCATGATCCTAGAGAACCTCATCTTCAGACTGCCTACAGGGTACTGCATTACTTGAAAGGCAATTCGGAGAAAGGAATCTTGTTCAAAAGGAATGACACTCTTACTCTGAAAGCCTACACCGACGCTGACTATGCTGGCTCCATAGTGGATAGAAGATCAACTACAAGATATTGTACTTTTCTTGGAGGTAACCTAGTGACATGGAGGAGCAAGAAGCAGAATGTAGTGACATGGTCATCTGCAGAATCAGAGTTCAGGGCTATTGCTCAAGGATTATGTGAATTACTGTGGTTGAGAATCATCTTGGATGATTTAAGAATTCCATGGGAGGGTCCTATGAAGCTCTAGTGTGACAACAAGTCTGTCATTAATATAACTCATAATCCTATACAACATGATAGGACAAAGCATATTGAGATTGCTAGACATTTCATCAAAGAAAAACTGGAGGAAGGGTTAGTGTGTATGTCCTATGTTCCATCAGAAAGACAATTAGCTGATGTTCTAACAAAGGGGCTGAACAGTTCAATTTTTCATGATCTTGTATCCAAGCTGGGAATGGAAGACATTTATTTCTCAATTAATTCTAATTTCCTTAATTAAGGAAATTAGAATTAATTGGTAAATCCTTTAAATTAAGGAAATTAGAATAAATTTGTAATCCCTTAAATTAAGGGAATTAGTTAAATAGTTTCCTAGTTTTTTCTCCTTCTCTTTCTCTATAATATCTTGTATGATCAATCCAAAAGGTGGTGTGAAATAAAAATTATTCCTTTGAATTCCCACAGAGGGTTTTTTTTTTTTTTTTTTTTTTTTTTTTTGCGAAGATTTACATGAAGTAAGGAGAGCTTGTTTCATCTGGTCTATAAAAACATTTCTATTTTAGTACTCTGCAACCAATCACCGACCACATTGAAAATAATTTAGACAGAGTTATCTAAGAAACATGGAAATATATTTCCTTCTCAATCTGTTAGCTTTGCTGTTAACACGTTTTCAGTGAGTATACATCAATCTATAGCCTCGTCTCCACACACAATATGACTGTCCATCCTAACAGAAATGCTAACAGACGAAGGGCACGAAACAAGTTTATGTATCATTTTTTTGGGAAGAGTAACCCATTGAAATCTCACTTGGGAAAAATACAGAATCCCATGGAAGATTTGGCTTCCACTCATCAGAAGGATTTGGTGCCAGGTTGAAGGGAAAGTTCATATACCTCATATTTCCCCAGTGAGTATTACGATCGCATATGCTGCTCACCGTCTTCTTGTACATCATATCTTCTTCTTCAATTCCCAAGTTCCCATTATCTTCTAAAGGAAAAGTAACAGTAAATCCATTAGACTGCTGCTGCTGTCCGAAGTCGATGCTTGGAGAAGGTTTCTCCATATCTTGAAGTACTGCAGAGGATACATTGAGAAGCATGGAGGTGGCATCTATTAAAGGCTTAGAATCAGTTGATGTTTCTGGTGGCGAGAACGTGAAGCTTGTGGCCATTTCAGGTGACATACAGCTGACTAAGTTGAATTGCTTGAAGTTTGTAACATCCAAGGAAGGATAAGTATGTTGCTCCAATCCACTGCTGCAGCCAAACTGAATCAAAGAACCAATTTCTGTTTTGCAAGAGATGTTCTCTGAACCAAATTGTGCACCATTTGTGACATAGGGTAGAGAATACTTATGAAAATCTGTAGCTTCTGGTAGTGAGGAGAACCAGGAATGAGTGAGTGCTTTTTGTGCTGCAGTGTTGGTCTTTTTGAAGATCCTGCAAATGGCCCATGCTTCCTGATCATGAATGATAATTAGTGAGTTTTTGCCGTTTCTCTGATCTATGATTGGAAGTTCTAGAATAACTTACAGTGGCAGGAATGAAGTTTTTATCCATTGGCCTTTTGGAAATTGTGGGATCACTAAGAGATGGTAGTCTGAACTCATGCATCATCCAATCAGTTTTGATTCCTTTTGCTGCTCTTCCCTTGTAGAATACAAGTGATTTCTTCAGACCTATGCATTTCACTCCCTCAGTTGAGTAGATTGGTCTGTCTGTTCCAGTGGCTTTCCAGAATCCTGCGCTGGTAACCCTGTTGGGCCTCGCGCTGTTGCGGTATTTTCTATCTCTCGGACAGTAGAAATACCATTCCTTCTCTCCTGTTGCCGCCATCTCTGCTCACAAGGTAATACCAGCATTAGTCTTTTTTAATTAATAAAGTGAGGTGAATATAATTTTCTCAATTAATGATTCCATTAACCCTTTATTATTATTATTATTATTATTATTATTATTTTAGCTGTTTTTGAAGCATTTACTTTCAATATTATTAACAGGTAATATATCGCATTTAGTTTCTTTGAACTGATTAGAGGTTTATCAGTTGGTTCTGAAAGGCATCTAAACCCTTTTAAGTAGCCACTAAGTTTACTACACTAATTCTCAAGGTTCAACCATGAAGCAGGCATGCATTTTCTCCTCAGCTTATCATTAGTTAACTTCATTTATAAATGCCCCTATTCAATTATCTGTTATCTGATATTAAAATGAAAAGTTGAGAAAGCTATAGCTCGACAGCTCGTCTGTGAACTTGATGACTCCTAAAACAAAACATCAAAGATCATGAATACAAAGGGAAGTTCTCTATGAAACTAAAATATAGTGAAAGGTAAGGAGCAAGCAAATGGATTAAAGCTAATAAAGGATTAAGGAACGATACTCTTAGTTTATGAGAATCGCTGTTTTTTTTTTCTTCTTCTTTTTTTTGTAAAAAGGTTGCTTGGAACATGAAAAAGTGAAAAACTGCTTGAGAAAGTTCCCTAACCTGAAAGTTTTATTAAAGAAGGAAGAAAATAATTGCTTCATAAGGAATGAAAACTTTTTTTTTTTCTCTTCACTGCTATGTGATAATTCGTCTGAAAATATTGCACAGCAATAAGTGATTGCTTACTTGGTAGGTCCCATGGATCATATTTGTAGATATCCAGTTGTCTGATGAGCTCAATGGAAAGAGGCTTCTGCTGTATCTTTCTCCTCAGATAGAACCCTACCAACTCCTCATCAGTTGGATGAAACCGGAAACCTGGAAGCATCACCTCATCTACCTTATCCATATCATTTTTTCCCTCCATTTCTCTAAGCTCTTCCTATGTACTCCAAATGAACACCCAGACAAGCTCTAAATGCTTGTCTGGGTTTAAAAGAAGCCTTGAACTAGTAGTTGGACAACAAAGACCAGACTTCCACGAATCCGAAAACTAGACTGAGATCTTTCTTCAGCTCAACTATAGGACTACAAACTAACTGAAAGTAATAACTCCAAGCTTAAACAAAACCAATTGGGGATCTTTATAAAATACTCGAAATGGGACGGCTCAACACTAAGGAAAATCTCGACGGAAGATTTTTACTGAAAGCAAGATATATAAAACGGTTAAAAAGAGTCGATATGCCACAAAGGAAGATTTTTCTGTAAGGGACTAAGGAATTTATCTAGTAAATAAAAGGCTACACATGTTCTCTTTCTCTGAAGGCTTGGGCCTGAGCACTTCTCCTTATAATGATCTAACTTCTTAAGACAACTGCCAAGGTGGCCCGTCAAAATTATTAATCTGATAGAAAGACTTATTTGACCCTTCTCATGAAACCATCCAACTTTTTTTATTTTTTAATCCTGGGAGGATGGTCTCAAAAAGACTAGACGTTTAGCTTCAGATATGGGTTATTAACTCATTTTTCTTTCTTGTTTTATAATATTCACCCCATGGAATATCCGAACAAATTTGAACGCAACCCATTCTATGCGGGCTTCTAGGTAGGCCTTTTGCATATTTTTTTATTCTGAAGGCAACTAAACACTTCCCAACGCTATGAATAAGTCAAACGAAGGTATATTCAATCCCAAGATTCTGAAACTTTTCTGATCCAACGAAAATGATAGCACGTTTCTAGTTCTCTTTACCAATACAATCTCTACTGTCGGTTTAGATAGATTTATCATATGCAGATTCCTCGAAGATGATTTAAATTAGAGAAGAAATTAAAAAAAAGTTGTATTTTTTCCCATCAATGAAAGAATTACAATTTTTTTTTGGGAGAAATTCCCATTATTGTCAGTTTTTATTGACAGGTAAAAATAAAATTATCAATTCAAATTTAATCTTTTTTTGTTATCTTCTTCATTTATTTTTCTCCGATGCCTTGTTGCCACTATTTCATGAGTAGGGTTGCAAGTGAACCCCGGCATTCAACAAGCTACTTGTAGTTGTGCTCGATTAATGCTCATTCAAGATCATTTAATTAATTATTCGAACGAGCTTGAATAATTTTATAAGTATTGATTACTAGATGAACAAGCTTGAATAGGTTGCTATTTGGTTTATTTATGCTCATCAATAATATCTTTTAAAGCTTGTCAATAAGCTCGATTATTAGTCGATTACAACTCGGTCATGAACATTATCGTTTAACTATTTATTTTTTCACTCAACGAGCGTTATTTGATATGACTTGTTTATTTTCCCCAGAAAAATTTCTCAAGTAAAGCTCGATTATGACTCATTTGTTTTATTAAATAAATTGCTTATTAATCAATTCGTTAATACCTATATGAACTGAGCTCGAGTTGAATTTATAAATTTGATTGAGCTTTTGGTTATATTTTTATTGGTTCAGTTTCATGTCTCGACACGTTTTGCTTGGAAAATTTTTTTCTCCTTAAATATAATGCAAAGGGAACTAAACACTGTAAGTCTTAAAAGAAGTGAGCTATAGGAATAAGAGCTTCTAAGATAAAGCATCCAATGAAGATCTTTTTTTAGTTGCTTGGCATAGCCTAAACATTTTCACAATGAGTTGACTACAATCTAAGTGTTTGACAGAAATCCTCCTTACAGTTTAAGGCATCGAGATTGTCTAGAAAACCTGCTCAATTTAACCGCTCGTCGCTCGATCCTCATCAATCGATCCTCTATAGTCCGCCCTCGCCACTCGACCTATAGGAAATATTATCAAAAGAAGTGCACATATGATAGATATAAAATATGTTATCTCTAACATATTATCCTTTGAATGTAATTATTACATGTATATTTTATAATAAAATGCTTTTATAAAAAGAGGGAAGAGGGAATGTGAAGGGAACTTTTTTCTCCACCGACAGTTATTAGAAGTGAATGCACTACTTTCTTTATTCTTTCTTTGTGTATTTTTCTCTCTGATTTTATGCTCCATTCCTTGGGTATGATTCACAAACAAATCTGGGTTCAACATTAAAAAATGTTGTGAACGTTAAATAATACCACAAACAAGAAGAAGAATGGTGCAAGAAGAAAAACCGAGCTATGGAGAAGCAACTAGCAATATATAATGCATTAGAGAACTTGTCATGAGAATACTGGAACTCATCTATTCGACCACCCATACTCGACCTCCTCCATTTGGCCACCTGCACTCGGCCTCATCCACTCAAATTCCTCCACCCGACCTTTTGCACTTGGCCACCTGCATTCGGCTAGAAAAATTGCTCTCCCAAGAAAGATCTCCAAAAAGCATCTTCAAGAAAATAGTTTGTCTAAGGAATGATAAGTCACAAAAGAGTGGAGCCAAGCGGCAAGAAAAACTTTTAACAGTGAAAATCTCTCAGCATCTTATTTCTTATTTTTGTTTTATTTCATTGTATTTATGCTTTTTAAACTGCTTCAATTTTTATATTACTTGTTATATAAAAAGAATTAGCTCATAGCACTCGGGGAACTTGCCCCTCATAAGCAAGTATCCTAAGAGTAAAAGGAGATTGCCAAATCTTTGGACCCTACTTGACTCAATAATCAAATACTAGGGACGAATTTGGAGAAGCTCTTTCCAAATTATAATTCAGTCAAATAAAAAATGAAGTTTGTTAAACTAGGGATTGAAGACCACAAAATCTCGACCTCGGTAAAGTTGAAAATTTACTACTACTCTTTGTAGGAGAGTTGTGACCTTCAGACAAATGATAGTTTGAATTTAATGAAACAGTTTGAATTTCTCTGTGACTAAGTCATGCTGTAATGAACTTGCTGAACTCAATCACTCGTCACTCGACCCTCTCCACTTGGGCCTTGCTTAGTAGACCCTCTCCAATCAACTCTCTCCACTCGACCCAAGAGAAATGTGACCAGACGAAGTGCACAGATGATTAATATAAAATATTAAAGAATTATTTGATGAAAAATTTGTTATTTCATTCAACATATGTGTTTAAATAGTTGTTACAATGTCTAACAAATAAATCCAATAAAACCGTTCAATTACACAACCCAATAAAACTCTTTAATTACACATAAGTCGCAACACTCCCCCTTAAGATGGACGAAAGACATTCACTAAGCCCATACTGTTATATAATCTGGCTAACTCCACTTAACTAAGTCCTTTAGTGAGGCAGTTGGCCACCTTCTCTTCAGTTAACAATCTGTTATTTAACTTCTCCTTGATGAAGAACCTATATTTTATCTCGATTCTTTTAGAGCACTCGGAGTCGTCAGCTTGTCTATTTATATGCCTCGTATTATTCCCCTATTCGAATAAATCTTACTCTTGGATTATATCAATGATTCAAAGAGGAGGAGAATCAAAAGAAGGATATACGACAACAAATAGTTAAACAAATAAAAAAAACAAGTAGAAGGCTTATATATAGGCGATCCACATTTGATGGGTTGAAAATATACATACGAACAGGATTGGATCGAAGTATCTCGAAATATAACATCCACGAAGTGAATCCCTACATAAGCCACTCGCAATCAGAGAACCAAAAAGAACATTTTTGCTCTGGTGTCAAGAGTCTCCCAGAGGAACGTATCTCTCTGGTTAATTATAACTTGGGAGAGACCCAATAATACTCTCGATAAAAGAAGTATCATTTATATTATTATGGATATGAATAACAGACCATCAATGGATAGTTATTTCATAAGAGAACGCCCCAATGCTTTCAAAGCTCTCGCTAAGTCATAGAGCAGAGAGTGTGTTTCTCACATCCTAAATGGGTAGTGACTCGCCGACATACAAAGTCTGCCAAAATCATCTCGATGATGATATCTCTATATGTTAGAGCTCACTGTTCTATAAGGGCAGAGTGTGAATCACCATATTTCAAATGGACGAGGGCTCATAGGTAATTTGTCCGTCAGGATGATATCAACGAATTCAAAGGAACGACATGACTCATAGGGGCTCAACAAGAGGAAGGGTAGAGTAATCCTAAAAAGTAGAGGTAGTCGGGACGGGGCACCACAAACTTATTATCCCTAGCTACTAGGACTCTAAGCCTACCTAGTTGTGAAGTCAGTCGACCCAGCACGTCTAGAAATCCCTAGTCAACAATTTGTGAACTACGTCGTCCACAGGGATCTCGGTAGCTCTAAGTTCAAAGAAAAAAAAACTTTATGTTATAACCTATAAGGTGGAGCTCAAGAGAGAGGTAAGACTCACACTCACCTGATAATGACGGAGTTGCCTCAAAAAATAAAAGAAATAAGAGATCTAGCTACAAAGTTATAAACACTCTCCACAACGGACTTACACTCCGTCTGGGTTGGGGCAGCCTTTAACACTCTAAGCGCACTACACAACCACCTAAGTAAAAATCTATGCTGGGTCAGTCGGGTTGAAAATTTTCAGGAGCTTCTTCTCAGGATATGCAAATATGAATGCAATTATCTACCACTGTCCTAAGCGTGGAGGTCCTATTATATGATTTGGGTGAGTGCGAGTCTTACCTCTCTCTAGATCTCTTATTTACTTTCGTGCATGGTCTTCAAGCCGGATTTTAAATAGGTTGCATAAGGTAAGACTCACACTCACCTGATAGTGACGGAGTTGCCTCAAAAAAGAAAGGAAATAAGAGATCTAACTACAAAGTTGTAAACACTCTCCACAAAGGACTTACATCTCGTCTGGGTTAGGGCAGCCTTTAACACCCTAAGCGCACTACACAACCACCTAAGTAAAAATCTATGCTGAGTCAGTCAGGTTGAAAATTTTCAGGAGTTTCTTCTCAAGATATGCAAATATGAATGTAGTTACCTACCACTGTCCTAAGCGTGAAGATCTTATTATATGACTTGGGTGAGAGTCATGTTATGCAACCCATTTAAAATTCGGCTTGAAGACCATGCACGAAAATAAAAGTGTAAATTTTAAAGCCTTGAATATTTTAATCCTAAAATTTTCATTATCTTGAATATTTTTTTGAGATTTTTGGAGCAAATTTAGATTTTTAAATCATAAATAGCCTAAATTGTATTCATGATTCTCAGATAAATAATAAAAAGAGACAATGAAATTCATTTCAAGCATACAAACATAAAATAAAAAACATGAAAACAAGCCGAATCAAAATAATAAGAAAATGTTGGTGTCGCTAGGTCGGCAATA